AAGAACAGAATTTTGTTCTAAAAATAAAACAGGCATTGAAACGCGATTGTATGCATGTATAGAAATGTTTCCGCCGAAACCCGCTAATTTGTACAATTAATATGATTGAATAATTGTAGTTTAGAAACCAGGGAAGAAAAGGAGGCACACATGGCTTGTGTGCCTGTTTCATCAGGGGCTGCCCTCAATGATGGCTGTGATATTGCTGAGAGATGAGTATGCAGGTTGGTCCTGTTACCTAATGCTTATCACCCTGGACCCTGAGGGTGGGTATGATTTAACAGAAGTCTTTCCTTGGTTTCCACAAATAGGAATGCTTTGCTCTCAGCAAACCTGGGATTTGGGGGTAAGGCACAGATTATAATCACTGTTGGTGTAGGAACCCAGTTGGAAAGTGTGACTCAATCAGGGAACTAGCTGTTAAAAGTCATATTTTATTTAAAAAGTAACTGCTTTGCTATGTGCCATGACGCAGATGAATTTAATTAAAATATTTCCCAGCTCTAGGTTGGTAGAAGACCAAAGATGTAAGGATGTCTTTGCAGGAGATGTGGGGAGTGGGGCTAAGTTGAAGCTTGTTTTAGTATTTCACCCAGATTGTAAGTAGGTCATCGGGGCATGTATTCTTCATTTATTCCCTGCCTTGTATGTTTGCTTGTTCGTGAGGCAATCTGGATTATGACCCCAGTCACCTAGAATTCCGAATCTGTGGATCCTAGTGCTCACATCTAGTGTTGAGAGAGAAGTTGAAATAGCAAATAATTTGGTGAGCTTATTAGGGAAATGTGGCCTCCCCTACCTCTCCTCAGTGAGAAGCAGGGATGTATGCTTTTATGAAGTAACTGTATATAAACTTTTCTTTGGTGAATTGGTGGAGAATTACTTTTATAATAAATGCCTTGTTATAAAAATTGTAATGCATTGAAATTTTACATACTGAGGACCATAATGACCCGTGAAGACAGGGATCCAGTTAAAAAGCTTGCTGTGGCAAGGTGAATGCTGACCTAAACAGGCACAGTGGGTTCTGTAAAATCCATGAATGCAATTTTAGGCTTTCCTGATGCATAGTAGACAGATAATTGGAGAAGGAAACACACGCACATGCACACACACCTTACACACACACATACCTTACACACACACACACACACACACACACACACACACACGAGCACACACAAGCAGCTTGCAGAACATTTCATAACAGCACTCACGAGTGCCTAACATACTACATACCAAACGGAGTCAAGAATGTTCACACGAAGCCATTCTATAAGAGCAAGGGGTCTTGGTATTTGCGATGTCTGGGGACAGGATTGCTCACTTGGGTTGTCACTACAGTTAAAGCACAGTGTCAACAGTGCCTGTGACTGCCAGTTACCACCCAGATGTATTAATAGGCAGAATAGGCAGTGGGTTCATAGTCTAAGAATGTATGAGACTTGGGCAGTGGTGGTGCACGCCTTTAATCCCAGCACTTGGGAGGCAGAGGCAGGTGGATTTCTGAGTTTGAGGCCAACCTGGTCTACAGAGTGAGTTCCAGGACAGCCAGGACTACACAGAGAAACCCTGTCTCAAAAAGCCAAAAAAAAAAAAAAAAAAGAAAAAAAGAAAAACAGAAAAAAAAAAAGAATATATGAGACTAGGCTGGGTATGGTGGCAGACATCTTTAGTCCTTTAGTTCTAGCCCTTGGAGGCAGAGGCAGGTGGATCTCTGTGAGTATGAGGCCAGCCTGGTCTACAGAGTGTTCTAGAGGAAAACCTTTCCCCTAGGCCCTTCTAGGAGGTGTCATATAGATAGCGTGCTTGCATGCAATTCTTGATTTACAGAATGCTTTATGGTACATTTTACCAGTACCAATTAGACCCATACCAGGATAGGAATAGTTCAGGGTTCATACAGCCCTAAGTCAGATGTGAGCTTTCATCTGTGGCCTGATAGGACAAGTCTCTTGGCTACTTACTCTGTTGGATTGGGGGAAGGGGAGCAAAGTCCGTATAGTGGCTTGTATGCAGCCCATGGAGGGTAGGCCATGGAGGGCAGCCCATGGAGGGTAGGCCATGGAGGGTGTTAATGATGGTATATCTAACAGGAGCTCAGCACACTGGGATCTGAGTTTTTCCTGAGGAAGACTGGGCCTCACATTGTTGAGTACCCTGCTTTTCCAGATCTGTGGGGTGATGGTGCGGAACTGTCATGGCTGGACTCTGGTGACACTTGAGAATTTGGGGTCCCTGAAACATGGTCAGCCTCCATAGCTACGGTCTTATCTGTGCTTCCTCAGCCTATTTACTGTGCTGGGTGTGGAGCTCTGCAAACAAACCCTAAACCCATTAGTCATATATTTATTTCTGGTTGTTTGTCAAAGTGATGCCAGTTCCCCTCTGTAACCTAAACTTACTTTCCAAGCCTTTTTTTCCCCTTCTCCAGCGTGTCTTACTTAAATGTCATTTCCTTCCCCAGTAACATTCTCTCATTCATTCCTTGAGTCACCAAATGCCTTCTAGGTGCTGCTGTTACACCAGTGAACGGAGCCCACAGAAAGCCCTCCTAGTGGGCTGGCCATGTTCGCCTTTGTCTCTCCCACCTGCCACTATCCACCATGTGGTTGTTGGTCCATGTCTCTCCACTGAAATGACACTTGTCACACCCTGTGGGGCAGAGCCTTTGCTTCCTGTGCCTCAGATGCTGGCACCCCGAGTAGTACCTGAGGTGGAACTCTGTCACAGTGAATGCTTTGCTTTGGGGATGTTTGAGAGACAGGTGCAAGAAAACAGACTCCCCTTCTCCAGTGCTTGATTGTGCAATCACTAAAATATGAGGTCTAAGCCCAGGGAAAGCTCGAGCATCAACAGGCTAGGGGGTATGTGGCCTGAGATGAGGGAGGAGTCTGGGCAAAAGATTTAGGGCAGGTCCTTACATTTACCCCACTCTCCTCCCCCCAAAGGTAGAATTTTCAAAAAAGTCAGATTAGACCTTTGAAAAAAAGATTTATTATCTTTATTATATGTATGAGTGTTTTGCCTGCACGTATGTATGTGCACCACATGCATGCCTGGTGCCTGCGGAGCCCAGGAGAGAATGCTGGATGCCCTGAACTGGAGGTATAGATGGTTGTGAGCTGCTATGTGGGTGCTGGGGACCAAATCAAGGTCCTCTGTGGGAGCAACAAGTGCTCTTAACTGGGTCATCTCTCAGCCCCCATACTTTTAAAATCCATCTTGTTTGCTCTTGTTTCTAATGAGGTACTGGGTCTAGAGCCTAGGGCTTCCTGCCTGCTAGGACCAGAGGTTGGTGTGCAATGCCAAAACAGTCACTCTCCACTTTGTTGTTTTTTGAGGAATAGCCTCTTTCTTGGAGCAGACTGGCTGTTGGACAAGCCCTGGATATCTTCCTGTCTCTGCCTCCCCAGCACTGAGCTTACAGGTGTGCCTCATTGTGGTCACTTTTTAACATCAGCAGGGGAATGGAAGTCAAGTCCTTATACTTGTGTGGAAAGCATTTTACTGGACCATATCTTCAGTTCCATAATAGGTGTACTATGCAGAGCTGGTGAACATATGTGCTGTTTTATTCATTCTGTTGTATATAAAGTTTCATCCTGTCTTCAGAATAAAAAGAACCATGGGAAGTCTTCAGCACAGCCTTCCAGCCTTCGGCACAACATACCTTTCTTGTGTTTCCGAGATGCTCTTGATCCTGTTTGCATCCAGATTGCTCAGCCCATCCTTGTTCCTTATGAGATGGTTTCCACACAAGGCTGCTTACCCTGGGTCTGTCAGCTCCAGATTTCTGAGGCACAGGTTGTGCAGATCTGATGCTGGGGTGGCAGCGTGAACTCTCTGCACTTCAATTAAGGGGGCCGACTTGCCTTTCACCAGAATGGCCGCCATGTTGGACCGATTTCAAGCCACCAGATGCTTTGGGAGTCTCAGATGGCATGCACTCCTCATTTGCACGGGGCGGATCAGTTTAGCAATTTGCCTGCCTAATAGGATATTGGCCTTGAGACCCCATCGCCTCATGAGCTGTTTCCTGCCACAGCTTATAGCCTTTTGATTTGAATGTTTTATGGATGTGCTGGCAGCTTCTGTCAGTGTTCTAACAGAAGGAACATACACATGAGCTTGTGTGTCTGGACTTAAAAGTTCCTCTGGTCCCCAGATTCCTCATCCTGAGTTTGAGGATTCTAACTCATCAGTGAAATGAATGTGGCTTGAGCCACACCAGGTACTCAGGGCCTGGAGCAACTTTCTCTTTTAGCTCCTCTGTACATGCTAACAGTTCTCCTAGATTTAAAATCTGGTACTTAGCTCGGTGGAACCAGGAAGCCATCCCTCTCTGACGCTCATCCTCTCTTCTGCCCTCACCCCACTCTGATAACCTCTCTATAATGTGTGTCCTCCAAGCTCTTAGTCATAATTGTGCTCCACTTATCCAGAGGTCAGACTTTTAGCAACCTCTGCCATCTGGAACGCGTCCATGAACCAGACAGAAAAGGCCTGTGAGCTCAGCTGCCCCGGAGTCGCACCCTGGCTGATGGGAGGATATCCAGTTGACACCAGTGAGAGGTGGCAGGGGGTGGAGAATGTGAACACCAGAGTGAGCTGTTTGTGCACCCACAAACAGTGAGAGCGAACCATAGCCTCCCAAGTGAGAATCCTCGGTGCATTCAACTGTGCCAAGTATTCAGATAGTATTGAAGCCTTCTGACTTCTACAGACACCAGACACACATAGAGTACACAGATATGCATGCAGGCAAAATTCTCATGCAAATAAAATAAACAAATCTGAAAAAGGAAAGAAAGAAAGAAAACGGGAGATTATAAGTTTGATTTCTCTTGGATTTCCAGTTACTTTTTTTTTTTTAAACAAATCCATTAGTGGGGTTTGGAGATGGTCAGTGGGGTAAAGGATTTGCTGTGCAAGTCTGATAAACTGAGTTCAGATCCTCAGACCCCACCTAAAAAGCTGGATGCAACAGATTGCATCTTTAATCTTGGCATCCCTATGGTGATATGGGAAGTAGACAATTGCCCTGGGGTTCATGGGCCAGCTAACCTGGAGTATACATGATGCTGACATGGTCAATATGATGAGAGAGACTCTGTCTCCAAACGGTGAGGAGGAGAATCAACCTCCAAGGTTTACCTCTGACCTCCCATGTGTGTCTGACCCCTGCCCACACCCACACCCCGTAGCCCAAGAGCCTTTTGGTATTTTGCCATCACTTCGTCTGGATAATTTATGTCTGTGAAACTTCATTTTTAAAGTACGGGCAAAGGTGGTAAAATATGGAAGACAGGTGGGTGTGAGGGGCACCTTACCGACCATTGCTGGTTAGCTGCCTTTTGGGCTTGGCTGTTCCATCTCGGCATCCATTTCTGCGCTTCCTCCAGGGCCACTGGGTGGAAACTTCCAGGGGTGTAAGCCTCTCTGGTTCTGGAATCCCTTCTTCTACTTATTAGTGTGGGCTTATATATTAAATGCAGTGTTGAGTGGCAGTAGGGCTGGCCTTTATGTACTTCCGTCACAGAGACTTCTCCACTACCCTGAACCTGAAGGGACGTGTTGTATGCTAAAGAGTACAATTCCACCTGTCCAGTTGCGTCTTGAATGCCTAGAATTTTAGATTACCAGGGGATTCCGTTTTGTATTCTCATGCACAGACTGCATGTTCTGGGCCCCTGTAAGGGCTAAGAGGTCATCACTTGGCCAAGGTCATACAGGTGGACCCAGGCTGGTCTACTTTGGGGGTCTACTTTGCTAGAGTGCTTTTCCCTGCCCTGTGGTCTAATGCAGTCTCTCCCTGCTTCAAAGCTTCAGTGCCACCCTTACCCACTGGCCTCTTAAGTATGGAGTGAACTTAGAGGGGAGGCCCACAGCCTGGGCCTCAGCCCTGCCTTAGCCTCCCTCCTCCCGCCTCCATCTGCCCTCATATCTCCAAGGGAACCTTACTGTCGTCCTTATACGGCAACCTTCATTTCTGTGATGGCGCTGTGTCTGATGCTTTCATACTTACAAAAGCAAATCACACATTTGGGCTTAATCTTGTGTTCAGGCGGAGCGTGTTTTGTGGTGATTCATAAGGCGGAGTCTGCCATAAGCACTCTCTGAGAGCCAGCCAAACTGGTTCCAGAGCAGTGGTTCTCTACCTGTGGGTCTCGACCCTCCCAGGGGTCAACTAAGACCATTAGAAAACACAGATATTTGCATTAAGATTCACAACAGCAATAAAAGTCATGTTATGGTTGGGGATCAGCACATGAGGAGCTGTATTAAAGGTCGCAGCACTAGGAAGGTTGAGAACCACTGCTCTAGACGAAAGGCGTTGCAGAGGTCACAGATGACTCCCTCAGAGGAAATGGCAGGTGGACTCCTCATCTGGATTGTGTTTCTGATTTACCAGGGTGGGGCAGTATAGGTGGCAGGCAAAGGAAAGGTCACAGAAATTGCCAGCTCCTGGCAGAGGCTTGTTTGTCCCTGCAGGCTAGTGTTTTGGGACTAGCTGAGTAGCCCAGCCTGAGCTGGGGAAGTGCTAGAGGGATCTTGCATGGTGTGTGGCCAGGCAGGGGTCATCCTGCATACAATGCTGTGTTCCCTGGTTTTGTTGTAGGTTGGTTCTGTTTAGGACCAACAAGGAGGACTCAGGAATATTAGGCTGCCACCTATGCCATCCATCAAAAGACCGTGGGTCATGGCAGAAGACAGATAGCAAGATTTGATATCCAATATGGATTGACATCTATTAATTGAAAAGTTTCCTTAATTTTTAATATTTATTTTTAAGTGTGTGTGTGTGTGTGTGTGTCTGTCTGTCTGTCTGTCTGTCTGTCTCTGTGTGTGTCTGCGTATGGATATGTGCACATGAGCGCAGGCGTCCATGGAGGCCAGTGTTGTACAGGTAGTTGTGAGCTGCCCGGCATGGGTGCTGGGAGCCTAGGTGTGGTCTTCTGGAAGAGCAGTCTGTGCCCTTAGCTGCTGAGCCATCTATCCAGACCTGCAAGCTTACTTATCTTGAGCCTTGCTTTACCTCAAAAGTGAGGATCCTGCTACAACTGCCTTGCATGTCTGCTGTAATGCATATGACCTTGGGGTTGGAAACACTACCCTCGTTACCATCTAACACCCAGCCCAACTCACAAAGGGCATTTAATATTTTTACTTTTTTTATTTTTACATATATGTTGTGTGTTCGTGGATTCATTTACATGCACCATATGTGTGTAGAAACCTGTGGAGTCCAGAACAGGGCATCAAATCCCTGGAGTTAGAGCTGGAGTTACAGATAGTTGTGAACTGCTTTGTGTGTGTTGGGAGTCTGTATCCTCTGTATGGAAGTCAAAGGACAACCTGGAGTTAGTCCCTTCCTTCTGCCATCCAGGGCTTGGAGCTCAGGTAGTCAGGCTTGGAGGAGTGAATTTACTCACTGAGTCATCTTGCTGGGCCCCCATTATCCTTTGTAGTAAATCAGATACCTTTTAGGAAGTACTGACTAATGGAAAGGAATTAGAGTGTCTGCAGGCAGAACCCTACACAGAGACTAGGGATCCCTTAGTGTTGAGACACGTGCCATATGGATGCTAACAGAATTCCTGTGGAGAGATGTCAGAGGGACCAAACCAGGCCACAGGTGTTGCGGGTCTCGACATCGGAGCCACATGACCAACCAGGGTGAGGTCCATTGAAAGAACTGATAGATCAGCGTATGCGGGGAAACATTTACCAAGTCTTAGTAAGTCGCTAGGAATTCAGGAATGCACATAGCTGGTGCATGCTAATCTTCAGCCCCGTGCTAAGTGCCTTGACTTTTAATAGTTCATCACTTCCTACCCTTCACCCCAGCTTGTCCTGAAGTGCCAAAGAAACCAAAGTTGTTTTTGAGAGTTAAAATAGAACTGCTTGACGGGGATATGCTCTACGAACACTATAACTTGTCTGCTTTAAGTGGGCATTCATTGAGCTTGCTTAAGTGTCTCGTTGTGTAGCACCTCTGTGGTGTACATCACACACACACACTACTGTACATGATACACGTGTGGTTATCTCGGAATGTCCCTTCTGCTCCACTGGAAATGAACCCCTCCTCCTGCCTGGTGGCCACTGGTTTTTGGTTTTGTTTTAGAGTTTTATAAAGGGAACCATGGTATGCAGCCCCTTTAGTGACCTTACTATACTGTAGTCATCTGTCCATGCTGCCTGCACTCTCAGACCACTCTGCTTTGTTGCTGAGCCCTGTCACGTGGACATGTGATAATTTTAAAATCAGCTTTATTAGGTAACGAACAGTTGAGTTTTTTCCAGGTTTTAGTTGTAGTGACGAGAGGAGCTAGGAACATCCCAGCTCAAATCTCTGCAAACAGATGTTTCTTCTTTTCTGTTTTGAGACAAGAGCTGGCCTTGGACTTGTGGCTACCCTGCCTTTTACTCCTGAGTTCTGGCCCACATGTGTTCACTGCCATATCCTGAAGATGTTTTCTCATTGACTTGGGTTAACACTTAGGAGCCAGATCGGTGCAAGGTGGATTTGTGTTCCTAAGACTCTGCCACTCTGTTTTCTCAGGCTGCGGTACCACTTTCAATTCACTCAGAACACTCGAGTCCCAGTCACTCAGGCTCTGCCCCAGCGGGTGGCATTATTAGCCTGTTTTGTCATTTTAGGGGTGTGCTGTGGAATCTCATGGGGATTTAACTTACATATCCCTGGTAACCATGGTATCCAACATGTCATGTTTTCAGTGGCCTCTGGGCATTCTATCTGATGTAACTGTCTGAACTTACACCATGTATATGGTTTCTTATGAGATATATCACAGGAGTGGAGAGGTTGAGGTGCTGGATGTCTTTCACTGGATGGGTCTATCAAGAGAAAGTGAATGCTTCAGGGGTTCTCAACCTTCCCAATGCTTTGACCCTTTAACTCAGTCCCTCATGTTGTGCTGACTCCCATAAAATTATTTTGTTTCTACTTCACAACTGTAATTTTGCTACTGTTATGAATCGTAATGTAATATCTGATATGCGGGATATCTGATGTGCACCCTCCACCGGGGTTGCGACCCACAGGTTGAGAACCACTGGTTTAAGTGGTGATACTCCAAGACAAGTTTGTGAAAGATGAACTCTGCAAAACAGTGTTGTGAGGGTTCTGTGCTCTGGATTAGATCACCCTTACAGGAAAAACTTAAGTGATTCGAGAACTGTGATTTATTTGAAAACTATTTGAGGGGATTTGCAGAGACGGCTCAACAGTTAAAAGCACTTGCTGTTCTTCCAGAGGACTTGGGTTCAGCTCCTGGCACGCACATAATCTCTCCTAACTGTCAGTAGGTAACTCCACTTCCAGGGCACCTGATACTCTTGCTCTGGTCTCTGCAGGCACTATACATGTGGTGCACAGGCATGCAGGCAGGCAGAACACCCACACGTGTAGACAATAAAAATAAAGGAACAAAATGAAAACTCTTCTGGCATTCTGAAAGAAATTCTGGACCCGGAGAGGTAGCTCTCTTGTCTGTGCCCGTCACTGTGGATTTGGCAGCTGGGTAAAGACAGAGTCAGA